GTGGTAAACGAGGCTGGCCGAAGAGGCGAGGAAAAGCGACGAAAGGGCGAAAGTGGTTGGCGTCGTCTTGAACGGTTAGTGTTCCACGTCTCAGTCGATGCGGGCGGAGGTGGAGACCGCTGTTGTCCAGATGAATAACACCGAGTGTAAAAATACCCACTGGAAAAGTCTCGTTTGCGCATGTCGTACCCGCGACTCTCGTCCTGCTGGCGCTTGCGGCAGAAGCGCGATATCTGGCCACGATATCTACAGTAAAAACATGTTGGGCGAGACGGGCGCCAAGGCAGGTAGTAGAGGGCATTCGGCGCTACGGGAGATAGCGCACCCAAGAGGGCAGGCGGTGGTTCGGGTGGCATTGGCCGAAATTGGACCGGTGGTGCAGCAGCAACCGACGTGAATGATGGCAGCGGCAACATAGAGTTTACGTGGCGAGGAGGCGCGGCCGCAACTTGCGCGTACGTTGAAGGGCTGAACAGAGGTGTCTGTACGTTAGCTGGACCGGTGAATGACGTTAGTTCCTCCCTCGCGATGTGATGCAACGCCATGCTTGAAGGCTGTGTGACAAATTGAGAAGGTGGCGAGAATCTCACTGATTGGAGTTCTTCGCGCATGATCTCCCGTATCATGTCACGCAGGTCCCAGTCCGCTTGACGGTGTTCGCAATTACCCGACTAAAGGCGAACAGAATCAAGTTCGTCGAGCAGTTATAATAGATGCCTACAATATGATAGCTCTTTGGGGCTTGTTAAACAAGAATATTTTTGCAAGCGAGCGTTTCACTCATACAAGTGAGCCAGAAAACTACACTACACCTTCTTCTAGTTTGCACTGAATGTACCTAGAAGAAGCGTGCACAATTTTTTTTTGTTTAGGCACACTGCCTGTTACGAGTTGTGTCACAAGGAGAATAATGCAATATAAATTACCAGTCGTGCCTTTTAAAGATATACTTATATTTACTCCTCTTGACCGTGTGCTGTCGCAATCAGTCCGTTTCAAATACTTTAGTCGTGGTAACGTTTACGACAACATGAAACGGCAAGTAACATAAGTTGTTGCTTTAATGGCTGTAACGAAAAAAAAAACACAGCTTTGCTGCAGAGGCGAAGAAAGGAACGTAATAGCAACAAATTGGAAGATTACGTGCCGAATGGCAAGCAGATCTAAACGTGCCCCGCGCTTCACACGCGCAAATGACGCACGAATTGTACTGGCAGATACAGAAGAACGCCAATGAGTGTCTCAGTTGGTACTTCGCTGTGTCTGAAAAGCGCGCCCTTTTCTCAAGCGAAGACGGCTGATTAATTGCAGTGACCATTGTGCGCCCGGTAACTACAGCATAAACATTTCGCTGAAAGGCCAACGCCAGCCAAGACGTACTATTGTCTCCACTTGTACATAAGGGCTCGTGAGCAAGCATCTATCTTCTCTACTCTGAGGGGCAAAGTACGCGTAGAGATGTACGCTACCTAGACGCCATGCACTCAAGGCGGCATCTTGCTGGCAATGCCCAAAATACGATAGTCTGTACCCCTCCCCCCACCCACACTGTTGCGAAGCGCGCCTCCGACGACGTTACGAAGCGCGCCATGAATCTCACCGCTGCAACCACTGCTTCGAAAGACGGCGCCGCCCACACGGTCCCGAAGGCGCTACTGCTTCGAACTCCGCCGTGAAGGTCACCAGCCGTTTGGTAGCGTAGGTTTCTCAGCTTGCGACTGCTTCTGCGCAGAGCTGATAGACGAGCGGACGAGACGACGGTGAGTTAAACAAGGTTTATGTACAGCATATATACAGAGGCGTTACAAATTCGGCACTGGGGCCGACAGCTTAGAGACCCGAAGAGCCAAGCTCTCCTCTCTAACACATAGCTCTCCTGCTAACACATAGCTCAACTGCTAACACATAGCTGAACTAACACATAGCTCGACTCCTTTGACACACATGTCTGCTCTCAAACAGGTCTGCTCTCAAATAGGTCTGCTCTCAAATAGGTCTGCTGCTAACACATAGCTCAACTCTTACTCATAGGTCCACTCTGACACACATGTCTTTAACCACCTCGAGTTCATGGTATATACTAGTTCACTGTATTCATGGAACTGCGGCCCAACACTCGCTAAACCTTTCTAAAACCAAAGAGGTTACGCCCAGCGAGTATAACGTAGCAATCCTTTCTTGTCAGATAGTGCTCAATGTACATGCCAATGGCTGTTAAGGGGGAATGAGATGCTGGAAAATTAGGCTTCTAGCTAACGCGCACGCTGCGGATTTTTTATTGTTCAACAACACACAGAAGAAATCTCCCAACGGCACCACCTTGAGGGTTAAAGGTTAAGACTGCTTACATTCTGCTACTGCGACTAAAAAGGACGAATTGGTGCCACTCTAAGGAGCTTCGCCTCTAAACGAAAATGAAACTTCGAGTTTCAAGACAATAGGCCGATGATCAGATACGTACACAGGAGAAGGTGGGAAGGACGGAACGTTAAATCTGACACAAACGCCTTTAACGCAAGTGGGATATAAGCCCGGTCGAGCCTGCTGGAGGATCGTCCGCATCCCCATGTCCAAACAAAGGTATTTCCGTGCCCTAAATTGTGCGCGTCCAGTAATGAAAAGTGGTAGACAAGCCGTCGCAGCTCGAGTGAATTCCAAGCCGACCGCCCCCAGCCAGGACCTTGTACATTGGTTCGCGTATTTAGAACGCAGTTGAAGTCGCCAAACACAATGACATCACGACCGTCAAGAAAAAGACATCCAGGTCTTTAAAAAGTCATTAGAGTGTCCAGCTTGTGATGGCCCTTACACACACAGTATGCTTAATCTGAAAGAAAAGTAGCTATAGTCTAAAGCCAAAACCCTGCCCACACCATCGTAAAAAGCATGATGATCCTGCAATAGAGCCCGAATAAAAATAACAGTACCTACTCCCGTAAAACGAGATGTAGCCAAAGAGAAATAACAATCTAGGTTGAACTTTCGTTTAAAAGCAAGCAGGTTGAATAGCGAGAAGAAATTTGTTTCCTTGAGGCACAAACAATCACCGTTTGAAGCACGAGTGACACTGATCACTTCAGCCTGCTTTGCCGTTCTGCGAAAACTCTGAAAGTTCACTGAAATATTATGTTGTGTACTAGTTATTATGAATTGTATAGACTTGTCTAGACACATAGCTCTAGACGGTGTCCTGGAAAGTGTTTAGGGGACACTTCCTCAACCCAATCACAACGCACTGTTCTACCCTCCAAAAGAGGGTCGAGATTTTTCGGACCGTTGGGATTTACCACGGCCATCACTGCGTTCATCGGAGCAAGAGCAGGAAGTGTGCCATCGCTTCGTTTCACGTGGAGCTCCCATGTCGACGCAAAAATCGGCAACGCTAGACGGTCCGATGCTACTATCCAGTCCCAGGCTAAAACCGTCTTCCGAACACATGTCCTGTGGAAGTAGGGACTGAGCCGCCGGCATGGTTGGATCCACATCCTTGATGCTGGCAGCACTGCCCGTGTATCGGCAGGCTGGTGTAGGCACCCTTTGTGTGGGCGTTTTTTTACGTGTACGACGCGATGACGAAGTGGTCCGAGCGGCACGAACAGAAGAGGCGGTGGTATTTTCGGCACTGTTTTACGAAATAAAAGGGGTCGTAGGGTCAACTGCAACAGCAGAAGCCTCAGAACTGGGGTCATTTGTGCACTGAACATCAAGTGGCGTCAGAGAAGAGACGCCGACGTCGTTTGCAGGGAAGTGCGTTGCGTCTTTCGAAGCGCATGGTTCCTGCACCAGCGGGGAGGCCGACGCGCCGAGCGTCGCATCGACAATCACGCTTTCGTTGTGCGCTTCGTTTGAAGCAACTTGTAGGGGTGAGGCCAGCACAGCATCGGTAACCTCCTACGCGTACCCCGAGTTGGTAGTTGGTTCCGTTGCCGGTGTGAGTAGTGTAAAGGCACCAGCAGCAGCATCTGAGTGAGTAGCGGACAGGGCAAACCACAGTTGGGTGGCCATCCCCGCAGCGTCGACACGGGCGGTCACATCCTTCACTAACGTGACCGTGCACACCACAGCGACCACAATACGGTGTTGTGCACTGGGCTAGTAGATGGTCCCGTGAGCCGCGTTTTCGACATGCACGCTGGAGACCACGTTAGTCGAACGTGGCATGGTGACCGGAGATGCGCAGGCAGTTCGACACAGGATTAGCGGTGTTCATCTTCATTCAAACAAACCGCGTTCCAGTGAGTACGCCGCGTCGCCCACTTATCAAACCAGTGGTGACAATGAGCACCTCGCCATATGGGTACAACGCTTGGACGAGAGCTTCGTTTGAGACGAACGATGGCAGGAACAGGCAGGCGACTTTGGTCACTTGTGGCCCAACGGAGACGACTTGAACACGCTCACCGCCAATCACCAGGCAGCCAGCATGGGCGATTAGAGACAAGGAGGCCATGCTTTTCACGGAGAATGGGAAGTTTTAAGCTGCCTGAAGCTGCACACGGTATACCTCTGAGAGGCCGACTAATGAGGCCGTCGCATCAACGATGGTCTCACTAGTTCCCGTAGGGACAACAACGTCGAAGACAAGTGCCTTCGAAGGCGTCCAAAACGCGGCGGGCACCATTACTCCTACTGACGGACGCCCCTGGCGTAGAACGCACAGGGACGTCCTTGGCACTTGCGAACCTGAGTCAGGAGCCGACGTGAAGCGCGTCTGCACTCGTCGGCGCTCACAGCATCTCCTTGCTAGAAAATGGACACGGCGTGTTGAAGCAAGTGTTCCAAGTAGGATAGGTTTTTATATGGCCCCTCTAAAAGTAGAGCTAGACGCAGTACGGATATTTTGGTTTCTAAAGAAGAACCTAGTTGAATGAAGAACGTGATCCTGTAGGCCTTGTTGGCGGATATCGTTAACACTATAATTGGTATTAACACAGTTTATGTGAAAGTTAACCAGACTTCAAAACCTTTATAAAAGAATTAGAGTTTTATTTGCCTGATCAGACTAACTGCTGGCACTCAGGAGTGTATATAATGAAAGATGCTTGAAATCCTACAAGGCGGTTAAATTGGTGAGCGCAGTTTGGGCGAGGTCTTGTATCTATCGAAGAATTTGTTACCCGAAGATCGTAATATACAATGTCCCCTAGAATGAAAAAAAGACTAATTGCGTGAACAGAAAAAAAGGATGGCAAATCACATGCACTGAAAGTGTGCACTGCATTTGTTTACCTCGACTTCTTATGCTCTGTTTCATGCACACGTCCATGCACAAAGTCCATGCACAAGTACATTTGCAAAAAATTTGTTATATTTTTGTTAATCGCATGAATCACAAAGACTTGCATTGCGTGAAAAGGCACACAAAGCCTTCTCACACTTGATATTGCTTTGCGCGATACGTGTCTTAGGTATCAGTGACATCAGTACTCAGTACGACCAATTTGTTGCTGTTAAGGTTACATTTGCGTGTATGCTTGGCTATGTGCGAAACAGCTACGTAGAGACAGTCTATGACACCAGAGAAATATCCATACTTTCGATGATGCTGAAGCGTCTGTGTTGTTTGATTTTGAAGTGTCTGTCTGGTCTTTAAAGTGAGCGGTATTCAATATAGCCTATCAATCGCCAATCTATGAAATACTATAGGCAACACTAGGAGAATACTGCAGCTGGTTCGATTACCAATGAATAATTGTAGTCGGTCGTTTTGATGTCATCGGGATAATTTTTTAAGTCTCCCACTTATGAGGCCACGTGTGGTCATTAACCTCAATTTCTCGATAAGGAGGGTACAGCTGTTGATTATAATGCCATTGACGACGTTGTCATACTTGTGGGTTTGACTTTAAAATAAGTTGTTATTAGCTGTCGGTGTCCACTTTCAGCAACTTTTGAAGTATGAGTTTTATTGCAAGGTATGGACTGTTTTCGATCTTTTTTAGGGTGCAGGAACTAGCTGGTTAGGACAAAATGTCCGCTCTTCTAGAACAAAAGCTGTCTTCTCTGTCGTTCCTGATAGAGCTATCATCGGTTCATTTCTTCGACTAGTGTATAAAGCCATTATACAGATTGATAAAACCACCAAATTTGTAATTTTTAAAAGTGGCCTAACTTTGCACTTCTCCAATGCAGTATTTTCTTGCATAATCTAAAGGACAAAAAATGCACCAATTACAAGGTATTATGAAATATTATTACCATCTAGAATTTTTTGCCATGAAACTGGCGTGTGGGGAACGAAGCAATTTTACTAAATAACGCCGCATTTATTAAAATTATATTCAGCCTGACTGGCCCAACTGCCGGGCAAAGGCATCCCCCATGTTTAGATAATCAACTCATCCCTGTGATTTCGGCGGCCACGTCATAGCTGCAAACTTATTGTTCTCGTCGAAAGAAAAGACCAACTTTGAGTTGAGTTGAGTTGAAATAACTTTATTTGTCCAATGGTTGTTTCTCTGCCCGGTACTTGGCTGCCAGGAACACATCGTTCGAGGAACATCTTCCGAAGTGCTCGGCGACAGCCATGGGCTGCTGAATGGCCCACACCTGGTCTTCGGGGGCCTCGCTGAGAACGGCAGCTTGCAATCGCTCAGCAAGGCGCCCAGTTTTAGAGGGCCCCTCAGTTGACGTCGTCTTTTCTCGTGGCCCATCTTTATCTCTCGTGCAATGCCAAAGTATATATAACATATCGGCCTCTTCGTGCGCACACTATAGACAGCCGGGTGACGGATGAAGCGTGGGTCATAGGCAGTTCAGATCGTAGCGGTTGGTGAACGTGCCCGTCTGCAGCCTTCTCAGTTCCACCGCCTGCGACCTGTCTAGGTGCACGTGGGGTTGCGGAAATTTCTTCCTATCTTTGCTATAGTGCTCAAGCAGGTCGTTGTATGGGTAGGGAATTCCTCCGCATAGCAGACGGTGCACCTCTGTTGCCTTGCCTCATCTGCACCAACTTCAGTTTCCGCAGCAACGGAGGTGGGGTGGTGGTCATTGCGGCAGTGCCGGTGCGTGTGGCCACCGTCATGCCTCCGCTGGTGCTCTTCCCAACCACGGTGGTGACTGCTCCCTGGGTGGCTGCGTTGTGGCGGGTAAGTTCCCTTGCGACGAGATGGGCGCGCTCGTTATGGTTGGGCGAGATGCCGGTGAGTGGTTGTTGGCGTTGATAGATGCAATGTCTCCCATGTGTGCAGGAAACCACTTGAGAGCCTTGTCAATAATCTTGCCTGACGTGAAGTCCCCAGCCCTGGCTTTAAGCATTCGTGCCATCTCCTCGGACACCCAGCCTTTAATATAGCACCCAATCACTGATTTATATTCGCTAATAATCGGGATGTGGTAGGCACCGCTGTGGAGTACCGCTAAACCTATGGCGATCTCTTCTGCTGCTTCGGCTGATGGCAGCCGCGCTGATGCCGTGAGCCGAACCTTTCCCGTTGTATCCAGGACCACCATAGCGAAAGCATGGACGACCGTGTTAATTACGTAGTAATAATTATCTAGAACTCTATAAAACGCATATCATAACGGACATCCTTTCGTCTCGTATGGTAAAGTCTATACTTACAACTGGCTGGCTTACTCAAGCATTACCGATAAAACGCACAATTATTGTGGCGTTTGATCATACCTCAGTAATGCTTGTCCGTAAGCTTATATTATATGAATTCACTGTCTGCATTTTCTGCGCCTGTTCATGGCATACAACTCGGAAAATAATAATAGTGGTCAATTGCAAGCAAATTAGTCGGCTTAGAAACCAGAATGCAGACACATTCAGTTCGCCACCCAGAGACTTGGAAAGCACCATTGTGTTGAGCTAATGACGATACACTACTGTTGAAACACAATCTTTAAGATGTATTAAACTAGTGCAGTAGCAAAGGCGCCACAGTACAACATCCTACAAAATACAACTGCACGCTTTTTTTCGAATGTTTGACAATTTGTCTTGTTATGTGAGATTACTAATTGGCCTCCCCTCAAAATCAAAATTGTATGCCTGTTTTGACAGAGTTAGTCATGCATTTTAAGCATCAATGTTTCTTTATAGATGTAGCATGTTATATTGTTTTCAGCTGCAGAAGTTCACCAATGGATTCTGAAGTTGATATAATTTCTATATTGTACTATACATGTCGCGATGTGTTATTAGTGCACATTTCAAATGAAAACCTACTGCATTGTGGCTGAGAATTTACTTTTATTTTGCTTTATTTTAATTTTTATTTGCCCCTTTTTTTAACCATTCATTATCATGTCGCTGTATCTGTTTCTCTTTTGTAGTTATGTGCAGCACAGTGTGCTGTATACGCGCCAAAGTATACATTCAAGGAGCTGGAACTAGTCAAGCTGCTTGTCGGCGTTTTCTTTCATCCTCCCCTATATTGATTAAAATTGAGAGACGTCTTAATATTCATAAATAGTGGAAGCGTCTCTAATCGTGACCTTTGGTTCACGTATATGCGTGAGAGAACCTCCCATTTTCCTACATTAAAAAGGCTTGAATTTTCAGGGCAGGAAAAAATACCTTCACTAGTATAAGTGACTTTCGTGCGCACGAGTGTAGACGGAAGTGGCAGCTCCATTTTAAAATAAAATGAGTTGTTAGTCTGCACTCGTCCTTTCAACTTCTACTTGTGCTTCGTGGCCTCAACAGTTTCGTTTCACTTGAGGGAATAACTAAATATAGTCTTAATATGTAAATGTGAAAATTCATGAACACGTACAGTCTACTAGTGACTCGACCTTGAAGACAGCGCAGGTTTTGTCTGGATCCATGTAAACCATTTTTTCAGTGCTTAAGAAGGTGTCTGAAAAACGAAAAAAAAGAGAAGCTTAATATAAAGACGAGCGTGTATACTTTCATATAACGCAACCATGAAATAAAAACATTAATTATAACTAGCTCTTTGAGCTTCATGAATGATCGCACTGCAGTGCATGGAAACCTTTTTTCTGAAGCAAACGACGAATCACGCTAACAGAAAGGGAAAATTTCTATTGGGTAGTTTTGTATTGCCTTACTCTGCTGCTTATTCATGAATGGTTCTATTACTTATTGGCTCATTTATTACTTTACAAAGAACTGATAATTGGGCTCAGTCTACATACATGAAATGTGACAGAGTACACAATTCTAAAGGAAGCCTAAAACGACAGTTTTTTAGGCATTAACGTGAATGTCGCCAACGCCCCCGAGTAAAGATACGTGGTGCGTCTCTCTACTCCCGGGTACATTGAAGAAAGACATGTACGAGAAGCATAGGGCATTTTTCAAGGAAAACACAATGCGTGGGACGTGTTATGGCTGCACTCATCGCGTAATTTTGCAAAGAATGTGTTTCCAGAAATATATATCAAATTTCTGAAATATGGTGGAAATAGAAAGTTTACTCCCGGCTTGCATAACAACATTTCTTGTAGTACCAGGAATTCCAAATAACATGACTAGAGACTTCATTTGCAGCATTCAGTGTAAATCTAAATGATTAACTTTTAATTCATTCGATACAGGCGCTCCGGCCATAACAACCCTTGGAGGTGCGCAGCCGCAATCGCCGCCTTGAGAGTTCGAAAACGGATGGTGTGGTGAATATTCCGGAGTATTCAAACTCTGCCAAAGTCAAGGGTGAAACAGAAACCAGAGAGTCAACCAGCTTAACTTGAAAGTGAGCAACTACGTTATTTTTGCTCAAAACAAACGTCACACTCGAGTTACTTTTCTGTACTATTGAATATATTCTTGCAATGCCTGCTGTTTGCAACCTTTGGTGCAACAACCAGTGAAGTTTAAGGATGCTTTCGTTAAAAACACTAAACTCTTCAGTGATAGGAAATTTTCAAGCGGAAGTGGCGCCTACATGGAAAGGGCTCCATAGTTTCATTTTACATGACAACACATTGCACTAATAAAAACCTGAGTCAACTGGATGTTTAGCCACTGCTGCTTTGATATCTATAGTCATAAAAACACGTCTGCGGCCATAGAAAAATAAATGAAAAGGTATTAAACAATTTCACGTTTCCTTTATTTTTATTATTTTCCAAGTCCTTTGTTTTGCACCCTGCAAAAGTAATGTGCGCATACATATGAAAAGTTATTCACTAGGCTTAACAATGTGACTTAAATAATACTAATAATATGCTTGGTAATAATAGTATGATCATATTCAGTGTTAATATTACATTCCTTATTTCCAAAAACTCTTGAAGTGATTACAGGTCAAAGACGCTTGAGACCTAAGCAACAATACGCAGCTATCCGTGCAATGCAGTCAGTTATGTCACACATATTTAGGAACATAAAGAAAAATTATACAGGATACATATTTGTCATTGGTGTACGCTGACGAGTCACACAAGTAGCCAATATGAAGAAAAAGCTCCCTCTGCTGTACATTCTTTGTTTTTACACTCCTTTTCATGTTCATTTTTGTGTACTCATTTTCCGCTCTTCTTTCCGTGTTCCTAAACAAATATTTCTTTTACCACCTATTTGTCATGTTGTACACGAAGCCCGTGCAACGACGACTACGACGTTACAGCGGCAGAAACGTGCCAGCACGCATACGGCAGTAACAACTCAAATGAAGACGCGCCACCTCACGTTCTTACGTGGCACGTAAAAATTGGGAGAAGAAAAAAAAATTGCCCGCAGCTTCCCTCGGGGGAACACTGAGGAGGATGCGGAGCATATAATTGGTTAACGGGGTGTTAAAGTGCGACTTACTTGGGTCGATGGCTAAATTGGTTAACGTGGTTGTGAAATGGGGTGTTAAATTGCGACTTACTTGGGGTCGATGGCTAAATTGGTTAACGTGGTTGTAGGAGGGGGTGTTAAATGAGTGAACACGTACACACGTATGCGAAAGGGCGGCCCTGGTCGAAGGGACGTCGATCATTGTGTTTGTGAATTCGTTGGAATTCATTTCACCGCGACCTTGGACGTCGACGCGCCGTACAAACCAACCGACGAGCGGCAACTGAGCGAGCGAGCGCCGACCTTGAGTATATATACAGCACGACGGCGCATGCACTGTCAGCTGTTGAATGTTCTCGAAGCGCGACGCCACATGCGCGTCCACTGGAGAATCAGGAGAATTGTATACCACGTAAGTGATCAGACTGTGCCAGAATCTGGAGCTGACAAGACGTTTTGGCCTGGGCGTACGTTAATGTTCGGGAGACCAACATTGTCGTAGCTACCTAGGCGGACGTCAACATCCGCCGGACTTCGCAAACTGCACGACAACCCAGCTGATCCATCTCGTCCACGGCCAGCGACGCAGCTACGGCTATCAAGTAAATCTCGAACACCCATCAGCTCCACATTTTTAAATTCGAAGCATTTCTAAGCGAACTTCGCCGACCCGAGCGTATCTATCTATCTATCTATCTATCTATCTATCTATCTATCTATCTATCTATCTATCTATCTATCTATCTATCTATCTATCTATCTATCTATCTATCTATACCCACCTACGACATTTAGCTCTCCTGGCCATTTCGAAAACGGTATTGATAATAAATCTTTATGGCGTAACACGACTGTATGACCAGCATAATTGATTGATCATAACTTGAAAATCATGATACGTATGTGTCGCATATCTGTACACGCGCGCTTGTGCGATACACTGTCACGCGGCCCATATCGCAACACCCTCGCCCACGATGTGAATAAAAGCGCTTGGCGTGCGGAGGGCCGGGGGCACTTTCTTTCGGCACTCTTGGTTATCGCTACGTTGCTGGCATGTTTGAGTACTGGCGGCGTCTTCATACCCGGAAGCCGTGGAACACGACATAGTTCTTGGCGACGAGGATCTTGGGACCCTGGTGGACTGCCACAAGAAGAGAAGTCAGCGAAACGATGTCGGCTCACTTGGGGCAAATAGAACCATTCGATGACTCTTCAGCAGATTGGGCAAGTTATGAAGAACGCCTCCAAGCATTTTTGCGTGCTAACAAAGTCTCGGAGGATCAGAAGGCTGATACCTTGATAAGAGTAGTATGACCGAAGACGTACGCATTGTTGAAGTCGTTAACGTCTCCTGAGACTCCCGCAAAGAAGTCTTTTGAAGAATTCTAAGCTTACTGCGAAACCACTTTCTTCCTAAACTCTCCATTATCGGCGAAGAGGCCACATTTCATCGCCGCTCACAAATGCCGCAAGAAACTATTACTCAGTATTCCGCAGAGCTGCCTAGACTCGCGCAAACTTGCGAGTTCGGTACTTTTCTTGATCAAGCGTTTCCTTCAATGCAAGGTATAGTGGTTTCAACAGTAAGGTCATCCTTATAGAAATTCCTTGCCGTTAACCACGCTATTCCTGTCTTGGTCTGGCACCGAGTGTGCGCTACGTCAAGTTGGAGTATATGGTGACCGGTGCCTAAGGTTTCTGTTAGCACACTGCACTCTGCCCGGGTGACGTTAGCCGTGAAGGCTGAGATCGGGAATGGTGTCCCTGGAGACGCTGTTCCCGATTCTCGTCTTCTGGAGAGAGTCGTTCTACAATGTTAGTCCGTGGTGCTGGGCGACATCGTGCACCCTAGAGCCTTTCTCCGTGGTGATATGATATCCCCATGCCGTGTGTGAGGCATTGAAGTCTCCCACTATGGCGATCTGGTGGCCTTTTGTGCGCTTCCCGAGTTCTCGTACGAAGGGATCGAAATCTGGTGGCCTCGAGGGGGGCTGTACACGTTGGGTATGAATGGGCTTTTCTGCCTCTTTCATTCTGGCAGAAGTTCTATGAGGATGTGCTCCGTCTGTTTTTGCTCGACGTCATGTTTTTGCGCTGAAAGAGTTTTCTCTGACAAGTATGGTAGTGCGTTGGGTTTGTGCACAGGTCATGTATCCTTGCAGACGGACGTCCTGGGTGTTGGTTTCCTTGAGTGCGATGATGTGGGATTGGTTACACTTGATGAATTCTTGAAGGCTCTTATGTCGTGGGCGGTACGATCTACAGTTCCATTGCCATAGGCGTAAAGTTGATTGCTTTGTTTTTAACTCATGGTAACCGTTCGCCATCTTCGATTGATTCGACGCCACGTCGGCGATCGCGAGTGAGTGAGACAGAGCGGGAGGGGTGGCAGCTGTTCGCCCGCGCCTTTTTCCAATTGAGTTGGCGTGAGTTGCCGGAGGTGTCAAGCTGTGCCACGGTGATATAAGTTTTCCTTATATTGTTGATTGGTGCAGCGATCCCGTCAATCTTGGCATTTAATGTGGTGATTCTGTGTTCGAAGGTTGCGGCCGTTTTTTCAATTGCTGATTGGACAATCTTTTTCATCAGTGGCTTGTATGTTTGTCATAGAAGTTTCCTGCAATATCGTTCACCTGGCATTCACAAGAGGTTGAAAATCCGCCTTAGGCAGCATATTGCCCGGCTGCGAGCTTTTGTCTTCTACCACTTGGCATTGTTGTTGCACATTTTCAGGAAATTTGTGCTGCTCCTGGCATTTTTGAAGAAGTTTGTGTACGACATCTTGATGTCTTTTTTTACTCTGGAGCAGGTTGCCAATAAGGCTTTGTTAGTTTTGCTTTTGGCTGTGCTAACTCTAGAACTTGATCTGCTGGTTTTGCAGTCTATCTTCGAGGGCCTCCATGGATGCGGTTTCCGGCGATGTAGAGGTCAAGCTGCAGCCACTATTCGAGTTACTTACCATGGCGACGTAGCTCGTTCGTTTGGCTGATGGCAGGCGCGTGGGAGAGCGGGAGCATGAAGTAGTTTGCCAGATGGACTTGGATTTGCTACGTCTGGGGAAGCTGGTTTTGCCCCTACTGCTTGATCTCGCCACAAAGGTGCCAAGCT